AAACAAAAAAAAAAAAAAAAAAAAAAAACGGAAGCACTAGGTAGGTTACCGGTTAATGAGTGACAGAGTCAGTTTCTGATCCCAGGTTTTGGTCTGACTCCAGGGTCAGAACTACAAACCACAGCACCCTTATCTGTCCTCAAACTCCAAGAGGATCTGACTCCCTGGTCTGCAGCTGTCCCGGAGTCCATGCTGCAGCGAATGCCCTGGGATGCAGTTCAGAACTAGGAGGCATTTCTGAAACTATTAGAAACCTCTTCTTTTTCAGGTGGTCCAGTGTAGGGGGCGGGTGGAAGTGGTGGCATTTTTCTTTTTAAGTATGAGAATGTGTACATTTATTCAGTCTTGAGGTCAATCAAAAGTCTGCTCTGGGCCCTGCCCTACCCTGGGATTGCAGACACAAAGGTGGGTGGGACCCCGTGTGTTCTCTCCCAGGGCTCACATGACCCACGTGGTGCAGGGAGGGAGGCTCCAGTTCCCAGGCTTGGTGAGCCCTGGAAGGACCCAGGTCCCTCCCCAAAGGATGTGGCCCCGCTGGCTTCCCCTGCAAGGCCTCTCTCTGGTCCCCACCTGAGAGGATGCAGTTTGTTTCAGCCCCAAACTCAGCTCCTAGGACTTCCGACTGCCAATGCTAAATGGACTCATAGAAATGAACCGTGCCTGGTGCACTTGAATTCCGTGGAGCAGCTCACAAAGGTGCTAGGAAGCTTTTAAGACCTGAAGATGCCAGGAGCCCACTCCCAAAGTTGTAATGCATCTGTCTTGATGGCCCCAGCAACATGCATCATAGTTTACAAAGCTTCACGATGGCCCATAGAGCTCAGCGGTAGTTCTCAGCTTTACCTGCCTCCGACGAGGCCCTGGAGGGTCTGAGCAGAATTTTAAAAAGCGTCACCTTGATCCCACCAGGCAGCAGGTGAAGGCACCGCACGTAAGGTGTCCGAGCCTTCCAGCTGGCCTGCATCAGGGACTAGGGAGACAGCCCAGGGGGGGCCACTCCTTGCCGCCACCAGGGCTGGGAAACAAGAGCAGAGGAAAAGAGGAGGGAGGAGGACGCATGTTAAAAGGTCACTGTGATGGCCTAGAAAACGGTGAAGACCCCATAAGAGGGTCCTTCCGATTTCAATTCTCAGCTTCCTGAGGCTATGGCCCTTTTGTTTTTAAATGTTTTTCTTCTTTCTTTCTATAATGGTGATTAGTTGATATAAAAATTAAAAGTATAGGAGACACTCAAAAGTAATAATCACATAAAGTCTTAGCAAGACATATACTGTTACAGCCATGTTATATAACCCATGCAGTCTATAAATACGATCTATAAATCAATATACTGTATAATATGGAATATATAATCTTAGCATGTGATGTTAGTATCCTTCTTGGGCGGGGGCTTTATTTGTCTCTAGTTTTTATGCCATATTTCAAAAGGATTTTGTTTTCCTGGTGGTTAGGAACAGAAGTACTAAGCTCTCCTGTAGGTTTAGGAGGGCGTGAGAGGAGCGAAGATGGTGCGCCCTCCTGCGTGGGTTCACACCCATCCCCGTGTGCCCCGTTGCACCCAGGGGCAGGAGTTGCTGCCTTCACTCTGCAAGCCTGATGCAGCACACTCAGATGCACACTTCGCACCGCACCGTTTTATTATCAAAGTATAAAACCATTTCCCCCCTTCCCATTTCTCTGAATTCCAAGGAAGGCCCACAGCTGGGGGCCCAGGAGAGCGCCCCCCACCCCTGGCCTCTTCCCTCATCTGCCATTCTCCCCTGTGGGCCGAGGCTGGGCCGTAGGGCAGAGGCTGTCCCTCCAGAGGCGGTAGGTGAGGACGGCGGTCACCGTGAGCCAGGCCAGGTAGGGCAGCAGCAGCAGAGCAGCCAGCTTGTTGACGGGGTGCCAGACCAGCACCATGCTCACCACCAGCCCGTAGAGCAGAAGCAGGTGCAGCAGGGCCTAGGCAGAGGGGTGGGGTTGACACGCTGCCCAGGAGCCAGGCTCTTCCACCTTTCTGTAGCTCTGCACTCTGAGGACCCCTGAGGAGTCTGTCTACCACTTCCCTGCCAGTGCCTGGTCTTTATCTGCTTTGGGGCTGGTGGCCTCCCCTGCTATGCTTCCTCCTGTACTGAGCTCCTGGAGCCTTACCAGCCCAGGGTTGGCAGCCTCCAGGAAGAGCATCAGGACAGCCCAGCTGATGGGCAGCTGGACAGCATAGAGGCCAAGGGGCAGGGCCAGGCGCCACTTAAGTCCCCCTCCAAGGTCCTTCCATACCAGGTAGGAGGCGTAGCTGGGGAGAGAAGGGGGCAGAAACACAGTAGGAGGGGTTCTGGAGGAGACTCCCCGGAGTAAAGATGTGGGCGTGCTCTGAGGGCTGGGGGCTGGTGGGAGGGGTGAAGGAGGGCTGGGAGAATGCAGACGTGCAGGAAAGGGCTGGGAGGGACCCTTGGATGTCTTGGGGGCCCCCTGAATAGGCCAGGTGGGGTGGACCCCTTTGGAGGAGCTTGGATACAGGGAAGCTTGCTTCCGCCCCAGTGGGTACCAGGGGAGCGCATTCTCACCCCATGAGAGAGTAGACGGTGGTCCACACCAGCAATATGGTCTTGTAGGGTGGGCACCAGGACAGGGTCCTCAAGTTCTTGCACCAGTCGTCGCTCATTGAATATCGGGTGAACAACCAGAAGAGGATGGGTCCCAGGTGAGGCAGGCCCACAAACATGGGCCCTTGGGGCTGCATTTGCCTCAAGGGGAAAGAAGCTGGGGGGCCAGAGAGCTTGCGGATGATGAGCCTTCCCTTGTCCTCGTCCCGTGTCTCTGTGTCCGTCCCCACCTCTAACGTGACACTGTTCCCTGGTCAGAGCCCCTCTTAGGAGGTTGTCATTGTGTCCTCCCTGCCGCATGCCAACTTGGGCCCAGCTCCAGTCCCGCCCCTCTGAACTGTACCCAACCCAACCCATTTTCTAGCTTCCACAGACTTATTTCCCCCACACCAGTCAGTCATTGGTGCTATTGGATTACGGCAACTGCTGCTGAGTACAAAGCTCCCCTCCCTCTCCAGGTGTCTGACCCCTGGATGTCAGGTCCGGGTGTCACCAGGAGTCTTTTCAACCTCCCAGAGCGGGCCTCACCTGGGCAGGTACATAGCAAGCCCTCAGTGAGGACACTGTCTTACCTCCGCTGACAGTGACTGAGCCGGAAGGCCCATGTTCTGAAAGCAGGAGGCCAGAGATTCCCGGGCCTTTTCTAGTCACCGGTGGGCCTGCCCATCTGCCCAGGCTTATCTCACTAGACCAGACTGGCACACCCACCCAGGCTGACCTGCCCAAATCTACAACAGCCAACCGCCACTGTGGGGATCCCCTTCTCTGGAGCCCCAGCTCGTGACTGCTGCTGGACCATGAGGGGTATGCTCCATGTTCCCCCCGAGCCTCTCCATTTGGGCTGCAACCCAAGCCTCTAGATTTCTTGAGCCAGATTCTGCAGGAAACATCCACCTGGCCTTTAATCGTAAAGCTGCCTTGCTCATTTGCATGTTGCTTTATTTGCATATCATTTGCATGTGGGATACCGTGCAGACCCTCCTCCAACCAAAGTCCCCAATATCATTCTCTTTTGCTCTTGATACAAGGTGCGAGCAAAAATTGTGGTCAATGTTACATTTAAAAAGAATTTATTACAGTAAGACACATTGGCATTAATCCCCTCAATGTACTCCTTATCCGTAGTCCTCGCTGCTTCCTGAAGAAATTCTGGCAGGTCCTCTTTCCTGAGTGTTTTCAGTTGCTCTCTCCTGGCTGCCTCGATGTCCTGAACCAATTCAGAATGCTTCCCTTTCATGGGCATTTTGACCTCGGGGAAGAGCCAGAGCTGCACGGTGCCCCATCCTGTGAGTCAGGTGGATGAGGACACAGCGTCATGGTTTTACGAGGCTGCTTTCCTGTTGGTGGCGCTTGGCAGCAGCAGTCACTGTAATTTTGATCACACCTCGTAAAGACACCGCAGAAGACTTCAGAACTGCTTCAGAAAGTGGCAAGGATGATGTGATAAATGTACTGAAAGTGAGGGCTAGTATTTTTTTGGTAGGAGATTAATGGCAACGCGTCTTTTACTGTAAACATCTCTACTTTTTAAAACCAGTGACCGTATTTTTCTATCTCCGTTTGATCAATCTTCTCCCTCTGATGGGATTTGAAGGTAAAAAGTTGGATTATTTTCAATGTTCTGCAGTGACTGCCTGATCCATCGTTCTCTAGCAGGGTCAGGGACCGTGTCCTGGAGGTTCCTGGCCACCCCACTTCCTGGACGTCCCACTTGTCTGCTCATCTCCCCACTTGCCCTTGGCTCCTCACTGTGCTTTGCTTGTCTTGCCTTCCTAGCTCTCTGGCTCACTTTTCCTACTTTTTTCTGTCCGGTGCTGGGGCTGCCCACCCTCACCCTCCTTCTCCTGTCACCCACCTGGCCCCAGGGGCCCTGGCTCCAGCCCTTGCATGCCCTCCCTCTGGCAGCGCAGCTCCCAGGCAAGTGCAGGGAGAGGAGCTGTGGGGAGGAGGGTGGAGCTGGGCTCCCAGCTGGCCTGCCATTCTCAGGTGCTGCGGTGGTGACGTTCTGGGGCGTGCAGGCTGGGGCTTGTATGGCCCCAAAGTTCTGCTCAGTGGGGCTCTCGCTGGTCTGCTCCATTCTTATTTATTTAGTTTTTGCAGTGCTGGTGATCAAACCCAGCGGCTCATGCACGTTAGGCCAGCGCTCTACCCCTGAGCACCGCCCCTGACCCTGCTAGGTCCTTCCTGATGCCCAGGGTTCGGAGGAACTCGATGGAGCGGTTGAGGCACTGTAGTCTGGCACTGGGACACTCCTGCCTTTGATGGCAGCTCAGCCCCCAGTGACAGTGCTCTTGCTGCCTATGGTGTCTGTGTCCTGTGAACCAGCTCTGTGTCCATGGGGGTGGCAGGACCTTCAGCCTTCTCCAGAGCCTTTCTGCAACTCTGACTCTTCTCAAAGGAGGAAAGCGCCCACTTTGGAAATGAATTCATGACCCTGGCTATGGCTTCCCCTTGGCACAGGCCTGCCTGGCTTGAAACTTGTGCTTGACGGAGCTCCCACAGCTCCTAGGACCCTGTGATGCAGAGAGAGCAGAGGTGGGTGGGGAGTCTGGGCCGGGGAAGCCTGGTGCTTCTTGGTAACATTCTTCCTCCCAGCTTCCCTGAAGAGGGGCAGGGAAGACTGTCTCTGTCTGCCGGCAAAGTCTGGCCTCCTGTGTGGCGAAGACACAAAGACAGCACCTCCCCTCTTTGCTCCTTGTCCAAGGTCTGGGCACCTTTCCTTGCCCGTCCTTTCAGCATGAGGTCTCCTCAGGTCGGCTGCTCTCCACCTCTTCCTCTGTGACATCTCTCCAGGTTGGGGACCTGGCTCCCTGGAGGTGTCTGTCCCACCTCATCCCCTCCACCCAGGGAAGAAATAGAGGGGAGGGGCTGCAGTCAGGGATAAGAGGCTACAGAATCATTTGCTGGGACTTGAGCAGAGGAAACTACTTCTTATCTTTGTAAAACTGTGTTTTAGTTTTGCTCGACACACAGTTGAACATACATGTGGGGCACAATATGATGCATGCATCTTGTAACAATCAAATCATGGTAATAATAAACATATCCATCACATGTGCTATTTGCCACGTCTTCTAGCTATTTTGAAACCCAGAATGCATTAATATTAACTATAGTCTCCTTACTGTGCAAAACAATGCAGAACTTATTCCTCCTATCTAATCATAACCTTGTAATAGTAGGCCAGTCTCTCCCCACCCTCTATTTACAACTCTCCCAAGCCTCTCATACCTGCACTCCCTGATTTATCGGTGCACTATCCACAAGAACCAAAAACATGGAACCACCTCAGCGTCCATCTGCAGGTGAATGGGTAAAGAAAATGTCACATACACACAACAGAACCCTAGTCAGCTTTAAAAAACAAAACAAAACAAAACAAAGGAAGTCCTACAACGTGTGACGTGTGAATCGAGCTAGGCACGGAAAGACAAATGCTGTGTGATCTCATGCACACGCAGCATTCAAACTCTCCCTCTCATGACGCAGAGGGAAGAACAGCAGACGTTGCTTGTTCTCGGTGGGAAGTGGTAGCTGGGAGCTTCAGAGTTCACCTTGGTGATAACATGTCCTGGGTGGTAGGCACTTTTCCTTTATTGATTCAATAAATGACAGCAATTATCCCAGCCAAGGTAGATGTCATTATCTGCACTTGTCAGACATGGGGATTGAAAGCCGAAACGGGCTGAGAAGCTCGCCCAAGATCACGCAGCCAACGTGGGTCACCAGGGCCCTGAGCCGCTGGCCTGGATCCCAAAAGCCTCCCCTTCCCTTTGAGTGGGCGATGCAAGTCCCTCTGGAGCAGCTGTTGTGAATCGGGGTGCACCAGGAGCTGAGGAGACAGCAGAGGGCAGATGGGCAAAACCCCTTGCCCCTGGGCACTTTCATCTTCCTGGTGCCATCTCTCCGGGTGGAGTTCCCTAAGGGCCCGGGCTGGCAAATGGCCCCCAAGTTCAGCTCTCCCTGTAAGAGGCAGTGTCCCTGACAGCTCTGGGTGAGGGGGATGGAAAGGGTAGTGGGTAGGAGCCAGATGCTACCAGTACCTGATGCCTGTCTTCCTGGATGAGGTGAAACTTGGTGCTGTCCTAGCTCCCAGGATCGGCTGCATTGAGTCACCAGGCCCCACCTCACACCTACAGAAAAGGAATCTGCTTTTTAACAAGACCCCCAAGGGACTCCTGAGCACACCGCAGTTTGAGAGGCTCTGGCTGAGTTTCCCTCTTCCTTTCACCTTCTACTCTTTGAGCAGACTGGCTGGAGACCGCTGTTCACCAGCAGGGGGCGGTGTAAGGAGGGTGTCAAGGTGCAGCGCCGTCCACAACTGTCTCCCTCCCTCCTTCGTTCCTTGCAGCTCCACGCTGATAAGTTCACTGCCTTCTGAGGTCCTCAGCTACTCCCTACCCAGGCGGACTTTGCCAGCAGACAGGAACACTCCCCTCCACCCCTGTTGAGGGTGGCTCGGAGGCAGGACTCTTCCGGGAAGCGTCAGGCCAATCCCCCTGGAGTCCCCGCCCACCGCCACCCGCAGGCTGACCTGGCCACTGGGTCTGGACGACCTGTTTCTAGGGGACGGAACTGCGGGTCCTGCACAAGCCAGCGCCCCCTGGGAGCATTAGACAGAAGGTGAGCAGCGTGGGGCTGGCTGGAGGCTGGCACTGCTATGGGGTCACATGGGGCTCTGCCACCGTGTGGGGACCCTCTGCGAGAGGAGGGGAGGAAAAGGGGACTTCAGAGCTGGTGGGTATGGGGACCAGAGATTACTGTGGTGTGGACATGCGTGCCGTGCTAGTGAGTGTGGTTGCACAGTGCGTACACACCCTTCCCAGGACTTTCTGTGCCCTGCAGTGATACCTGGGCATCCAGCAGGTATCGGGGACACCCGGGAGGACTGTGAGATGGGGGGGTGAGCAGGACTTTGCAGCAGGTGTCTGGATCTTTCTGCTGGAGGAGGAGCTGCCCGGGGACAGCTGGTGGTGGACCTCCTAAGGGGTTCCTCTCGGGGCACTGCTGCCCAGGATGACACTGGGCACGGGTAGGGCAAGCAATGAACGGACGATGAGGCCCTAGGCATGGAGTGGGGAGGTCCGGTCCTTACTGATGGGGCTGCAGTGATGTGGGCTGCACTCCTCTCCTGGGCCGGGGAGAATGGAGCGGGTGCCAGGGAGGCCTGGAAGAGCTGGCACCTGGGCTCCCTGGGCTCGGCCAGGGGAGGAGTCAACCTGCTCAGAGCAGGTAAATGAATGGGCTCCTGGGCAAGGGGACACGGTCGCACCACCCAAGGGTTTGGACTCTGGTCTTTGGAGGCCCCAGGAAGGTTGTTGCTATAGAAACAGAAAAGGTCCCCTCCTTTCTGTCACTTTAGCTGCCCATGCCCTGCCACAGGGCCTTGGCGGGCAGGAGGTGGGAGGCATCGCTCACAGTGGAACGGAGGCAGTTCCTTTAGTTCCTTCATTTTCTTTTCCTTAGTTTGTTTCTTTCTCATCCAACTTCATTCTCCATAGAGGAGGTGTGGAGAGAAAGAAGGGTGGGGAGAGTCCGGGGTCTCTGGAAGTCCTCACTGTCCCTCTACACCCTTCCTGGCTTGTAGTGGTTGCTCAGTCACCCCCTCCACCCTCAGTGAGGAGAGAAGGCTCAGTGTTCTTATCGATGAAACAGGGGACCGAATGGGATATTATCATTGTCATTATCACTATCTTACTAAAGTGGAGAAACTCTGAGGTGTGGATGGGACATAAGGGGAAGCTGGCTCCTCCCACCCACCTTGCCCCACCTGGTTCACTGGTACGCCCTGCAGGTGGCCAGGCAGGAGGAGGCAGGGACGCTGGCTGTAGGGCTGGATTTTAAGGCAAAGGAAACGATGGCAAACCTCTGCTTCCGGTGCATGTTTCCAGCAAGGACAGATGGACAAGGAAACAGGTCCGGAGCTGGTGCTCAATCTTGAGCACACGAAAGAGCTTAGCTTCTGCTCGCGTCTGGAAGGAGCGGGGAAGGGGATGTAGTTTTCGTGGGCTGAGGGAGGAAGCAAGATGGGCAGAGCCTCAGCTTCAGGCTCCAGGTGAGACAGAAAGGAGTGGGGAGGAACTTGTCTCACGCAACCTCTGGTGAATCCACCAGCGGGGCCTTGAAGGAGGAGAGTGTCTCCTAGAACTCAGTCGCCAGCCGGCGATTCCCTGGGCAGCTCCCGCAGAACTGAGTAAGGCGTCATGCTTGGCAGGACTGAACTTCCCATGGTGCCTGATACGCAGCTGGTGCCTGGCCGACGTACATTGGAGCGGGAGCCACAGGAGACAGGGGACTCAGGAGCTGGCCCGGGTGGCGTGGTGGTGGGCAGAGGCTGAGGGAGCAGTGAGAGAGCTGGTCAGGGTGCTGCACCTGGGGCGGAGACGCAGCTGGGAGATGGGGCAGGTGAGGAGAGGTGGAAAGCAGGCAGGAGAGAGCCAAGGCTAGAGCGGACCTGGGTCTTGATGGCAAAGGTCCGGAAGTGGGTTCTGGAAGAGAGGCACAGCTGCGGGAAGTCTCTGTGTGCGCCCACCAGGTAACCAGGTAAGCCAGGTACCTGGCGCCTTTGCCAGCCTCCGTCGCCTTTGTTTTACTTTCTTTTATTGCTTCTGCTTTTAACTTTTGTTATTCATGTCGGATCACGTGCCTCAGAGGAGGAGGGGTGTAAAGAAAAACACTTGGACACCTTTTATCAACTAGTGTGTCACCCACGATCTTACCCCCTTCTCCAGAGAGGCGTTTTTCCTCCACTTTTAATAACTCCAGAAAAGAATGATAAAGTCTTTATAAAATACATGCATGGTGTGAGAAATTCATGGAATACTCCAAAAGAAAAAAAATGTTTCAGAAAATTCAGAGTCCTTGTTTATGCCTTCCACCCTCTGAGTCTTTTAACTGTGACCGATCGGGACAGTTTGGGGGTGGATGGTTCCCGACCAGTCCTGAGTGAGACAGGAGCTGCTAAAATATGTGGCGTTTGACCCAACAAGTCCTGGTCAAGATGCGTCATACACACATGCAGGAGAAAGGCCTCGTGTGACAAGAGAATGGAAAACATGGCATTAATAAGTTTACACTGATTGCCTGCTAAAATAGCATTTGAAATCTGTGGGGTTAAATACAAATGTTATTAATTCCCTCTGTTGCTTTTATTTTTAGTTAGTGTGGCCATTAGAAAACTTAAATCTCATATTTAGCTTGTATTGTATTTTGATTACATACTACGATGCAAGACCTTTTACTATACATTTGCACATACATGTACCCTGTATCCACACACACACATATCCAATAAATGTCACCTACACTATATTTGCATGTTCCGTATGTGTATTTGTGGGGCTAGGGATTAAAGCCAGGGCCTCTTACTTGCTAAGCACACTCTGCACCACTAGCCTGTACTTTCTTCTTGTGTTAGTGAGATCAGGGATTTCTATCTCTGTCTTTTTTTTTTTTAAACTTGTAGATTGTGCTATAGCAGCTCTTGCAGAGCAAAGTAGATGTTTTGACAGGTGAAGAAATTGAGGCACATTATGCAAGATGACAAGCTTACCCAGCCACAGTGATCACCAGGGTTTTGAACTCATATCCTCTGACTCCAAACCCAAATTCTTTCTGCTGCCTCACTTTGTATTATTGAGTTACGTTAAATCATGGGAGTCCACGGAAGGTGTGCATGTGTGTGTGAGGTGTGGGGCGCTGTAAGGAATGATCTGATTGGGACTTGCTGGCTTGAGAACCATTGCAGCTATGTGGAAACCAAGTCTCGGTCTCCACAGCTTACGGCTTAGCTTGGTCCTCACCCCTTCTTTCTCCCAGGCCCGTGGCCTTGATCAGCTTCAGTGCAGGACACCCAGCAGCCTTGAGTGACCAGGAGGATGTGCCCACCGGAGACTGCCCTCCAACCCCCCCAGGTCCTGCTGCTGGTGGGGGTCCCGGTGGCCAGCGCCCTGCTTCTGGTTCAGTGCCTCCGGTGGCACTGTCCCTGGTGGCTGCTGAGACCCTGCCGGAAGCCAGATTGCCAGGAGGAGCCAGCGGCCCCAACCATCCTGCCACCAGAATTCGAGGTGCCAGGGCGGTGTGCACCTGCTACGCTGCCGGAGATGGCTGCCTTCTACCAGGAGCTGCACACGCCCACTCAGGGCCAGACAGTTACCCGCCAGCTGATGCACAAGCTGCTGGTGTTCTCAGCCCGAGAGGTGGATCACCGAGGGGGCTGCCTGCTGCTGCAGGACATGGGCATCTCCCTGCTCATCCCACCAGGTAACGGCCCACAGTGTTTGGATTGTATCCCTGGGGATGGTGTCCGAGAGAGCACCCTGGGACTGCACCTAGGGCCTTCGCACTGAGCCATATCCCCAGCCCTTCTTCAATTTTTATTTTGAGACTGAACATCACTAAAGTTGCTAAGTTGCCCAGGCTGGGCTCGAACTTGCCATCCTCCTGCCTCAGCTTCCCGGAGTGCTGGAATTCCAGGCGTGTACCAAGACATCCGGCCCATGGACATCTTTATAATTCTGAAAATGATTGATGTTTCTGGTATAACGATTGCCACCAGAGATGAACATGTCATCTTTTAGGACAACTTCCCTCAGGCGGAAGTAAAGTAGCTTGTTCTAGGGACTCAGCGTGCCTGGACAATTCCCCCACAGAAGGAGAGAGTGAGGTTTACAAGTTCACACCAGGTGCCCTGTGGCCCTGGGAGGGAGGGGGCGATGGCTTAGGACTGCGCCGCAGGTCAGTGAACAAGCCTTTGGTCGCTCTGCCCTGTGCTCAGTCCTGTGCTCCAACCCAGCAGGCTGGCCCCGTGCAGGGGCGGGGCAGGGCGGGGACGCCTGCCTGCCGGGCTCCTCCCAGCGCTCCGCCTCCCCAGGTGCCGTGGCCGTGGGCCGCCAGGAGCGGGTGTCCTTGATCTTGGTGTGGGACCTGTCTGATGCCCCGTCGCTGTCCCGAGCCCAAGGGCTGGTGAGCCCCGTGGTGGCGTGCGGGCCCCACGGGGCCTCCTTCCTGAAGCCCTGCATCCTCACGTTCAAGCACTGCGCCCAGCAGCCTGGTCACGCGCGCACTTACAGCAGCAACACGTGCCTGCTGGATGCCAAGGCCTGGAGGCCCCTGGGCCGGCCGGGGGCCCACAGCTCCCTGGACGAGTGCCGCATCCAGCTTTCCCACTTCAGGTAGGCCTGCGCCTAGCATCGCCTGGTCCCCATCTCTGTACAGAACGGCCCTTTATCTGGGTCTGCAAGTCCTTGGTCCCTGGGTCCCTCTCTGAATCCTCTGTTCTGATGTCCATGGCAGCTGGTTCCATCCGAACCCTGACTGGGGCTGTGTACCCCACTGCGGTCCCCTCCCCACCTGTGTCTCTCTGCCTGACAGTCCTTGCTGGCTCTCCTCCCTGCCCCATGGTGGCCTCCTGATACACTCCATTCTCCGCTCCTCGCTGCCCGCTAGCTCCCCTGGCCAGGACCCCACTTGCCCCCCAGAGTGCTCTTGTCTCCTTGGAGGCTGGCACAGAGCGCCCGCACTCTGGGTGACCGGAGCCCGGGATAATGTCCTGGGGTCTCTGTCCCGTCTTTCCCGCAGCCTCTACACCTGCGTGCTGGAGGCGCCCGCGAGCCAGGCTGCCCGCAAGTGGTTGCAGCTGGCTGTGTTCTGCTCCCCTCTGGCCCCGGGGCAGACCCACCTGCAGCTTCGTGTCTACTTCCTCAACAACACACCCTGCGCCCTGCAGTGGGCCGTGACCAACGAGCAGCCACACGGGGGGCGCCTGCGAGGGCCCTGCCAGCTCTTCGATTTCACTGGGGCCAGAGGGGACCAGTGCCTGAAACTCAAGTACATCTCCGAGGGTGAGGGGTGCTGGCCCCGGGGAAAAGGGAAGAGGAGCAGCTTTAAGGAGACCCCTGGCTTCTGCCCCCAGTAATCCAAGGCCTCTTGCTCCTCATGCTGCCCACTCAAGCCCTCGCTGCCCTCCAGGATGGGGCAGGAGTGCGGGTGGGAGGCTGCAGCAGGGGGTGAGTGGCTACGTGGTGCAGGAGCCGGGCTGCCCAGGTCTGGGGTTCCCGTCCACTCAAGACCCCCAGACTTTGCTGGTCTTCGTGCCTCCCCAGCACCTGCGAGACCCTCCGCCTTGTCTCTGTCCCTGGCTCAGGTTGGGAGAACGTGGATGACAGCAGTAGCCAGCTGGTTCCCCATCTCCACATCTGGCATGGAAAGTGCCCCTTCCGCTCCTTCTGCTTCCGGAGAAAAGCAGGTAGCCCAGGAGCCTGGTGGCCACCTCATGCCCGCCCTTCTCCTTCTCCTTCTGTCATCTGATGCTCTGTGTCCCAACCTGGGGAGAAGGCGGAGTGTTCTGCCTGCCCCCCACCTTTCTGCAGGGCCCTTTGACTTCTGTACTCTTACCCTAGTCTTTCATTCGCTCACTGACTCTGTAGCCAATGAGAATGAGGACTGCTCGGCACTGACCAATGAGATCATTGTCACCATGCACACCTTCCAGGACGTGAGTTGGGCCTGTGGAGTCCTGGGCAAATGGGTGAGGGACGTGGTACCGGTGACAATGGCCCTAATCACATAACCACATAGGGGACAATGGCATCTCCACAGTGTAGCCCTCCTGGCTCTTTGAGGGACTTAGGCCACCTGGAAGACACGGCTTCTTCCTAGGCTCCATCTGATGCCCAAGGGGAGGATGGGAAGAAATCAGGGGAGAAAGTCTTTGGGGGCCCAGTGGCATCTTGGTGGAAGCTGGCAGACACCCCACACTGTCGTGTGGTGAGCAAGTTGGGATGGAGGGAAGGGGGCCCAAAAGCCTGAGGGCTATGTCTCTGTTACCGGGGGACCTCCCCAGGCCCTGTGCCTTTCCCCAGGACTTCTGGTAGCTCAGGACACATCCTCATGTTCCAGTCCTCAATGTGGGCAAAACTGGGGCAGAATGTGGGAGTCTGGGGTCTGGGAATGAGAGGGTAGAGGGGTGAGGTTTTAGCTCTTAGTAAGGCAGCTTGGGGTGACCAGGTGAGAGAGAGACAGGAATGGAGGCAGCTCTTGGTTTCTTACTTAAGGGGGTGTCTTGTGACCCCCGATGTGTTCCCTGCCCCGCTGCTGACTCAGGGCTTGGAGACCAAGTACATGGAAATCCTCAGGTTCCAGGCATCAGAGGAGGGGTCCTGGGCGGTGCCCCCCCCTGCCTCCCAGTCACCTCCGTGCAACAGGTGAGGTGAGGGGCGCTCACCCACAGGGGAAGTACAGCACATGGTGTGTGGGTGTGTGCGTGTGTGTGCGTGCATGTGAGAGACACAGACTCAGGTCCTCCAAGAACATCCTTCCCCTTTCCTCAGGCTGCCACCAGAGCTCTTCGAGCAGCTGCGGATGTTGCTAGAGCCAACCAGCATCTCAGGCAATGACTGGCGCCGGTTGGCTTCCCACCTCGGCCTCTGCGGCATGAAAATCCGGTAAGAGGGAGAGGTCTGCAGGTGGAGGTGGGGAGAACCCGACCACAGGTGAGGGAAGGGCTCCTCCTACCCTGGTCCTCACCGCAGGGCAGCTCTTCTTACCGATCCCTGTGTTCTCAGGACCCAGAGCGATGCTGGCCTCACAGAAGGGCGCACAGTGTGTATTTAACAGTGGCTCTGTCACCTGGCAAAGCCACCAGTGATTGCCTGCCTTGTGGCGGCCTGGGGAGAACAGCAGAGCCCAGCAACTGTGTGCAAAGCTTGTACTCAACAGATGTTAGCAGACCACTGTTATCTGTGGTCCCTGCCAAGGAACTCACAGAGAAATCCTAGGAGAAAAATTCTGAGATTGCTCCCTGGCTGAATGTGGTGGTCAGGGAAGACTTACTTCACCCATGAGAAGGGCTAAAGTTGGACCTTGAACCCAGGGTGGAATTAGAAACCTGCCCTTTATTTAAGCATCCATCAGGTACCTGCTGGGTCCCGCTGAGTGCCAGGGTAGAAGAAGAATGAGGGCTGTTACCAGCTCCCAGGAGCTCAGAGTCTATGCATTAAGGGTTCAGAGAGTTTAAAAGTCAAAGTGAGTGTTCCCTGTGCCTTCCTGTGCATATCCGGCATTGCATACACAGTGGAAAAAGAGCCATAAAGGTGCGGAAGCAAGGAGAGCTGAGCTATGAGCAGAGAGGGTGCAGGGCAGCCTTCTCCTACGTGCCAGGGAGGAGAAAGGATTTGTGAAAACAGTGACGGGAAGAGGAACGAAGCCTTTCTGTCAGGAGCTGTGGAGGTGGCTGTGGGAGTGGTGCATGCAGTGAGGGACAGGGGAGGACCAGTGCAGAGGCCTGGGTGAGGCTGGAGGGTGTTTGGGTCTGGGGAGGTGCAGAGGACAAGCACAGAGTGCTCGAGTCAGGCGCAGGCTTACAAGCCCTCTCCTCCCCAAAGGAAACTGAGGTCTAGCGAGACCGGGCCCAGGGCGTGAGTCTCCAAGTTAGAACAGTGTCTGGTTTCAAAGTCGTGGGGCATCTGGCCAGTTCAATCCCCACTGAGGTTGGAGAAGAGCCCTCCTCCCCCGCAAACTGCTAGCTCCTCTGTCTCCACCCAGGTTCCTGTCCTGCCAGCGCAGCCCTGCCGCGGCCATCCTGGAGCTCTTTGAGGAGCAGAACGGCAGCCTGCAGGAGCTGCACTGCCTCATGACTTCCATGGAGCGGCTGGACTGTGCCTCGGTCATCCAGAGCTACCTGAACATGACACCCCGCGGAAGCCCGGCTGTGGCCCACAGTCACTCCTGGGAGAACCAGGGACGGGAGCTGGACGAGAAGCTCTGAGCACCCGCCAGGGCAGGTGGCGTGGGAAAAACGCGGCCGCAGAACTGGCCGACTATGCCAGGGCCGCCTGTGTCCTCCATCAGCACCACCTTGCCCTGCATGTGGGTTCTCTCCTGGCCGGCAGAGGGTGCAGGAGCACAGGAGATGACCGCAGCTTGGCCAGCTTCCTAGCAGCTATTTATGGACACTGGGCTGCCAGGTAGCCCCCACTGGGCAGTCCTGGGCAACTGGTCGACACGCGTTCACTGAGCACTTAGTAAGTCTCCTAACACGCCAAGGGGATGCTGGAGTATTTGGGGTGCGGCCTGGAGCCGGGAGTAGCCCTTGTGCTCTTTTGGAGAGTCAAGGTACTTAGGCCAGGGCTCGGTGTAGACTGAGACTGCAGCGGCCTGAGCTGTACTCTCCGGGAGGAGTTGCGAAGGGAGACAGCTGTGTGGGCTGGAGCGAAGAGAAGGCCCGGGAGGATGGAGGGAGAGAGCCTCAGGTGGGGCGGGGAGAGCAGCCCGAAGGAAGGGGAGAGGATGGGAGAGGGTGGGAGGTGCTGAGCTCAGCCCGCGGCCGGAGGAGGGAGAATCAGGCTGGACAGCCCTGCTGCCCACGTCTCCTCTACGCCCGCTCTCCTTGTGCTCTTGTCTTGTTTTCCCCTCTTTGCCATTCTCTGTATCATTCGGCACTAAAGCCGAGCAGAAACCTTAGGATCAACCTTTATAGCCGTTCGCCTCCAGCTGTGTGAGTTTTAAGCCTCTGACTTCATCTTGCTGCCTCTCTTGCCTGCGACTTCCCCATCCCGGAATCCACATGTCATTCTGTTACCTGGCGCCTCAGCATCGTTCTGTCTCTACCTAGTCACCTTGCCCTGTCTTTGCGAGTTGCTTTCTCTGTCTGAAATCCTCAGTCCTTCCCCCGGGCGAGTGCCTCCAAACTTACGTGATATATCAGAGGTTCTTGCCAGAGCCTGGGCTATCCTAGCAGTGACTGAATGGCCACATCCTCCCCATGGATCAAGATCTGGTTTGGGGCCAGGAAATAAAAGAAAGGGACTAATAGATACCAATACTATGGTGTGCAAGACACTGTGTACAAAAAAAAAAAGAGCATTGCACAGAGAACAAAGGGCTCCACTTAGGTCTAGTGATGCTTCTGCTTGCAAACAGTAATTCTTGATTCGTTCAAGGGTAGGCAATGTCTCTGGTAACACTAAGAGGTTGCTTCAATATTTAATAAAAGTATGAGTGCTTTTTTTATGATGAACAATATTGTATAGTAAAATAGGAAAATTGCCTTTCTTTGTTACTGTGCTTTGCTCGGATTGGTAGATTTGCATGTGGGTATGCTGAGTTTTAGGTGGGGGAATTGTATCCGTGGGGATGGATTAGAGGGAAGGCCTTTGTAGGTGGTATTTCCAGTAGGAAAAGTGTCCAGCGTACCGGGTAAACTGGACAGGTTATTTCCTTGTTTCTGAGGAGCAAACCTTGAAAGTCTGGCCCTCCTGTCTCCTACCTTTTCCTCTGGCCCCATGCGTCTTCTGCCCCCTCTCTCTTGCTCCTCCCACCCCGCCAAGGCTGCTGGTCACCCCGGGTTGGTGCTCAGCCTGCTCCCCCGTGACTCGGTTCAGGATCGGCCTGTGAAGAGGCGCCTGGATGGTTCCCCCACGGTGTCCCACGGACCTCCCCTGTCTCAGGCCGAGGGCGTCTTCGCGTTCCTTCCTACCCCGGAATGAATCATTTTAAGGGTTTCAGGCCTCTGTGGGGAGGGGTGGGGTGGGCTGAGTAGAAGCCATGGGGTTCCTGAGACGGAATCGAATGCTTTCCGGCCCCCACTGCAGTTTCTCTGCACAAGTTCCCAGGGTGGGCAAAGGGAGGCTTGGAGATCTGGGGTAGGTGCAGGTTGTACCTCTCATGTAGGGGACCCTTCCTTTCTCAAATCAGGCCCAGTGGGCATGTGGTTTAGCATCTAAAGCCGAGCGAGGAGGTATCACAGTGGGCATCAAGAGACTTTGTGTTTAGCCCTGGCCCTTGGGCTGGTCGGAAGAGCCCTCTCCCTTCTGGGCCTCAGTCTCTTCACCCTTGAAGGAATCGATCATATGAGAGGTTTGGCAAAGGCCCCTTTGAGCCCGAAGGTGGCACACCGGTGACCAAGGGACAGTTACATGGGGATTTCCTCTGTGAATTGTCTTTGGTTAGAACAGTTGATCACTGCTGTGGCCTCACTGCTAGCCCTTCCCTGATAGGTTTTCTGCCTGGTGCCCCCGAAACAAATCTGTATTCTTCACTCTCACGCATGCATCCCATAGAGGCCCAGACCTAAGCTGTCACCTGCTGGGTTTAGAGACTGGGGTGAACATGAGTGCTCAGGGGGACCTGGTCTGTAATAGGGGGTGAATGTCCTCAGTGTCCCTCTGTCTGTTCAGGACAAGGTTCACGCTAATGCCCAGATATGCCCCGTCCTACAGAAATACAATAAAAGCCACATGTCATTTTACATTTCCTAGCAGTCACATTCACAAGCATAGAGAGGAACAGGTGACAGCCATTTGAACAATATACTTTGTTTAACTGAATGTACCTAGAATATTATCACTTCCACATATAATCATTAGAAAATTAATGTCGTGTTTGAAATTGTTCTTCATATTAAATAGCTGGCACTTGGCATCTGCTTTACAATTACAGCACATCCCAATCTGTGTGCTGTCATGGTTTGGATCTGAAGTGTCCCCCAAGGCCAGGATGGGGTTCCAGCGTGTGGCGCTACTGGGGTGGGGTGGATGGAATCAGTGCCCATGAAGGGGGTGTTGGGGCCCTGGTGCCGGGACCTTCTCTCTTTCTGCTTCCTGGCACTGTGAGGTAAGCAGATGTCTTTCCATCAAGATGTATGGTGCCACCGGCCATGGTGGCATAAGCCTGTAATTCCAGCACTTGGGAGGCTGAGGCAGGAGGATCGCTGTGAGTTTGAGACTGTGCTACATCGTGAGTTCCAGGTCAGTTTCAACTACATAGTGAGACCCTGTCTCAAATAAACAAAACCAAAAACTATAAAAAAAAAAAAAAAAAAAAAAAAAAAAAAAAAAAAAAAAAAGTATGCTGCCGCAACAGGGGCCGGGCAACTATAGACTGAAACCTCTGAGACCAAGAACCAATGTAAACCCTTCCTCTTTACAAGTTGTTTATCACAAGGGTTTGTCACAGTCGTGGGACTATAATAACACATATGCTGACTTTTCACTAGAAATATTTGATCTGTATTTAACTTTCCACAAAAATTTCAGCTGAAAGAGTACATTTACGTAGACAGGCTAAAGAAGCTAAAAGCTTTTTTGTGTTGTTGTGTTTTTGAGACAGGGTCTTGCTATGCAGTCTAGGCTGGCCTTGAACTTGAGGTGATCCTCCTGCCTCAGCCTCCCAAATGCTGCTATTACAGGCCTGTGTTATCACTCCTGGCCAAGCCAAAAGTTAAAAAAAAAAATGGAATCAGGAATCCATTAAGATTTCAAGTTAAAATTTAAGTTCATTCAAATACATTTAGTGCATTGAAATAGAATGAAAAACGGACTCCGTATCTCAGTTGTCCTAGCCACATTTCAAGGACTCGGTAACTATGAGCAGTTAGTGATTACTGTTAACAGAGAGCAATGTTCTGGATTATGAATCCAGCTGTGTGTAACTTTATAGTGCAGATGATCATCCACCCGTCCGTCCATCCATCCATCCATCCGTTTATCCATTCTTTTACCCATCCAACATTTGCTGAATTCCTACTCAATGCTAAAGCCCCGAACACATTGTTGGTGCTAAAAATTCAGTGAAGAAGAGCACTCGTGTTCTGGAGGGGCTCCTGGGATGTTGGGAGTGAGCAGGAAGGCCACACCTGAAGACTCAGGAAAGACGTGGGGGACAAGGTCCAGGCCAGCACACTGCTCCGGTGTGACTCACACTGCAGCCTTCTATGGGAGACTGATAGGGTTTGTTAAAAGATACTGAAGAGTTAGCAGTCATTGGAAGGACTGGGAAACAGGTTTGAGGTAGTTTCCAGGAACAACGCCTTCAGCGGGGTTGTGGCAGCATCTCAAGGAAGGAACCCGTACCGCTATGGCTGTTGTTACTGAGCACTAGATGTCAGGAATCTGAGTCCATTGCAGCCACGCTTGCCGCCATGCCAGGGCCACTCCTGAGTCAGGAAGCGCTGCCTTTGAGTGAGGCCTCTGCTGCTGTCTGTGGTGGTCAGAGCGGAAGCTCCGTGCACCGTCTGATTGTTCATGCTGTCCCGCCGCGAGAGGCTGTCAGAGCCCGGCTCACAGGCCCGAGTTCCTAGCGGGAAAGACATCTGAAAGCTGGAATTCTGACTTCAATATTTGGGAGGTGGGACTCATTATGTGCAAGTCCCCTCAGACATGGAAAAGCTACTCCAAAGCTGGCAGGAAGCAACAGATATGACTGATGTCCACTACTTCAGGGTGTGGCTAATGCTGCGGCCCAGGCCAAAAACCCTCTTCACAAGAAGAGCCGTGTGGTCAGCAGGTGCCTAGGCAACGCCGCAGTCTTTCAGAAGCTTTGAAGGAAGCCCGAATGCACTCATCCCTTAGGGCTGCTCACAGCACCGTCCCTCGTGTGGCTCTGTAATTCAGGGGTCTGCATGCCTGCGTCTTCTCCACATTCATGCATTGGGCTCCTCATCCGCAAGGTGATGCTATTTGGAGGTGACAGCTTTTGGGAGATCATTGGGGTGGGAGGCAAAGCCATCATGGATGAAAGGAGTCCCGGAGAGCTTCCTCATCTTTTCCACCAAGGGAGGTTGCAGTCTATGAGCTACAAAACAACCATCAGCAGACACTCATTATGTTAACACTTCGATCTTGGATTTCCTGGCTTCCAGAACTGTGTCGAGCACATTTCTATGGTCTACCAGTTACATAGACTTAGACAGTGAGGCCCCAGCACAAGCCTCCTGTAGCCCCATGTGCTTTCTCTGCTGCCGTGGCCGAAAACACAAACTACATTTCCCAGACCTTTAGCAGACAGAGGTGTAGATGTATTTATGTTCTGCTAACCAGCTGGATTCGGGCAGGACTTTGATTCAGAAATGAATAATTTAGAGGGTTGCATAGGGCGCGAGGCTAGTGCTTATCTTGAGGAGCTGAAAGTATGGCTTACAGAATGTTCCTTCGTTCCTTCTGGTGATTTGTGAACTACTGAGTTTCTGCAATATATTGTTCCCGTTAAAACTAGTCAGAGGGGGACTGTATAGTGTGCAGAAGAGACCTCTGCCCACAGTGCCAAAGATTCCTTCTCTGGTCATACTGTCCTCTATTCTGTATCCGGTCCTACCCATCTCACTGAAATTAGTTTAAGATACCATGAGAGGGTAGTGAGAGAGATGTTAGTATTAAAATATCCCCAATAGGCAAATTAAAAATACATTAATCACATGGTGATCTTCCCACTCCAAATCATAAAACAAAACAAAAACACAGTGCTTGGTGTAATGCAAAAGCCTAAGATACTTTTTTTTTTTTTTAAACGAGAACTGCCATCCTCTTTAAAGCCTTACACAGTTTTGTTTATTCATCTACTCAGCACATATTTGACTGTTTCCTATGTGCTTAGAATCTTGGTGGGGTTTTATTTATTTTCTTATCTTTAAGTAATCTTTCTCTTGCTAGGTTTAATCCAGCCCGTATTTGGTTCTTATTGGTGGAGATGTTACAGCTTCTGGCCGACAAAGAGCTAACATCAATCCTAGATGTTTAGTTCATAATGTCATACAGATACCAGCCGAAAGACAGGAATTATGCTTAATCTCTGTTAGCAACCTTCAGGTGGGAATTTCTTCCATTTCCAAACAAACTAGGACGGCTACGGTCAGAAAGTGCAGAATCAAGTCTGGGGAATGTCATGCGGGGAAGAGAGGATTACAGAAGGATTTCTCAGAAAGTACAGATGGCGTTGGAGAAGGGGCCACAGCCTCACCATCCTGCCCCTGGGAATCCCAAAGGGATAGAAGGAAAGTGCGTGGCAGGGAAGGGGACACAGTGGCATTGGTCATCTCAGAAACCTACCTACCAGGAGAACCTTCATGCCTTCTTGTACCTGTTGTGTGTCCACCCTGGGGCTTCCCGGGGTTGTGAGGGCTCTGGCTACAGGGACCGTCTGTGGCCTGGAGGCAGAAGTGGCTGCTTTTAGATCACAGGGTGGCAGCCCCGGGAAGCTGTGAGCTCCAGAAACCTCCCTCCTGCCTGCCATTCTGGCCTCTC